CCCCCCCCCCACCCCAGATTAATCACACGACTAATCGATGACAATGTTATGAAACCGATGACAATGCTATGAAACCGAAGATAATGTGGTGAAACCGATGACAATGCAATGAAACCGAAGATTACTTGTCGTGAAAATGATGACCATGTTCTCATCCCACCCCAACCCAACCCCCCACCTTTCACGTAGCATCAACTTCAAAAATCGCAGTAGTCACACGTTCGGTTTTACACCCGTAGGCTTAAACATGTATTTAAATGTCTTCGTCTCTTGCATGTCAAGCGTAAATGACTTTCCCCAAAGCAAAACTTTTTAGAGGCGTTCCCCAAAAAAACAAAGCTGACGTCACAATGAGCGGTACAAGTACAAATAACCTCACCCAAGCTGTTTGAGCAACATCGCTCATCTAGGCAACATCTGCAGTTGACCTTTCGACATAAACATCCATGCATAAACAAATCCCAACAAACCTCTGAGCCCTTGGTCTCCTTCTCCTTGGTGCCTGCCGGAAGCCCTCCCAGGTAAAGGGTGGTCACGGACTTATCTTCCGGAGGCATCAACGTGAGATCCTCTTCGGCTCTACGCATGATCTTCGCAGCCTCAGCATGAGCGACACCCAAAAAAGAGTTGCTTGCCATTGCTGTAGAATCAAAAGTTAATCTCTGGACCCTACTACAAGTGACTCTCAAAATAACACAAAAACTGTACGGACTTGGCAGTCGTAAGGAGCAAGTGGATCGTTTTCACCATGGAAACGATCCCTCAACTTCTGGTTGGCCAATTCGCCTCCTTGCGGGAGCTCATGCTTGAAGGGGCAGTCGGCGCCTCGGTTGCAGGCACCCTTCACGTAGAAAGTGCAAATTCTGGCCTCATTTCGCTTGTAGTAAGGCGTCATCCGAGCCAATCTCTGCAACATGGGATGGGCCCCGACCTTTCCGTAAGGCAAATCCTCACCATCCTTGTCGGCCTGCGCATTCTGCAACTGATAGTCTCTGCCTACTCTGGAGTGCGGCAACGAGACCTTGTTGGCCCCAAGCTCCTCCAAGTACTTGTCTCTCACCTGCACCGGCAGGCCATACTCCAGATCAAAGAGGCATGTCTGACACACATTCTTCACTTTCGCACAGCTTTGGCACACCACAGTAGCCTTGTATCGCCCCTGGGTGCCGGCTTTCCAGCGGAAGATGGTGAAGGGTCTGACACAAATCTTGCATTCGACCCCATAGTCCTCCTTCTGCATGCGAACATAAGGGTTGTCGCCCAAGCACGTCTCACAAAGGATTGGAAACTGTGCTTTCTCCCATCCTTCTTTGTTCACCTCATTCGCAATCCGGAAACCTTTCTCGGTCATGGCGGAAGGCGGAGCGACATCTGTTCTTAACTTGTCGCTGACATCTTGATCCAAGATCGTGGGGAGACCATCGGCCTTTCAAATGCAAGCGTGCATGCACAAAGGCATAGCATATGGCTTTGGGTCAAAACCGGGCCACCCTGGTTGGCCACCGAACATGAACAGAATAGACTACTGGGCGCCCCGTCAACCTACCAGCGTCAACCGGCTCCGGGTGCCATGACCCACAGCCATACATTTTGGGGGAAGAAAACGCTCTGAAAACGGAGCTCGCTCTCATAAGCTTACACCTCTTTGTCAAAAGATGAATCCCACTATATAGTTACTATAGTTTACTAGTTCTGCAGAGAGAGGCAGCTTTGGCCAACGCTGGCATCCAAGAATCTGAGACACCAACAGCAATGCAGCTTGCCATGCACTTGCACGTCCGCATGCTCCAATGGCTGCTGTGAGAGTAATCTCATCAACCTCGGGCGGGGAAAATGCTTTCCTTTTTCCTCACGGAGGGGTGTCTAAGGGCAAAGTCATGGCATACATTGGCATACAATGACTTCCCCACCATTCCCCTGGCCCTACCAACTACCCCTCCTGCCCCTCCTCAAGATGTTCGGGTTGGATGATGTGAATCAAAAGAAAACAAAGGCATGAAAAGTCCCAGGGTCTGGCTGTCAATGGCACAGGGGCGGAGGATCCCAAAGGAACCCGAAGTTCAATGAGGACGCCCACCGGAGTTCTTGAGAGTTCAATTTATTGATGTTGAACTTCCCGTTTATGGAAGCAAAATGGGTACATGCACATGACTACCATACATGCAAGGTGCTTCCACTTTGGCACCAGCTGCCTTCCATTTCACCAGCTCCAGCGCCCACTCCCACCGGCGACCGCTCTCGCATGCGCGGATGGCACCGTTCTGCGGAACGATGCCATCGGCCTTCAAACCTGCGGAACGAGGCATGAAAGAAATACAAAGATTGTATTGTTGGAATTTGCAGAATTTGTTGTTAGATGTTGTTAGAACTCCATTGGACGTTGTTTGGAAGTTGTAGAGTTGTATTGTTCCATGAAAGGATGATTGTATTGTTCGAATTTAGTTGGATGCCTTGGCCGTCTAGACTCAAGACCACACGTGACCCATTGCGAAGGCCATGCCAAGAAATCTGGGAGATCAAGAACTTCCAACAGCTGGTCAACTGCATGGAGCAAAGCCCAACAGGTCGAGTGCTTCGGACCAATCTCCGTCTCAAGTCGTCTCAGCGTCTATATGTTGAACACATGTCCTGTTCGCAGTTTGTCGGCTGCTTCATAACACAAGAAACCGATAAAGCTAACAAATTGAATACACCTTGAATAGAATTATTTGCAAAGTGCAAATTGCTGGCAATAGAAGTGTCATCACATTGTCCCAATGTCCCTAAGAATCGCGTAATCAAACATGGTTTGATCCATTTGTATTCCCTCAAAAGCCAAGAGTTCCCCCAGTTCGGCCCCAAATCGCCATATCTTATGGTGCCAGGTTACTGAAGTGATGATGAAGCTGCAGCAGCTGTAAGGACCGCTCCCACCAAGCCAATGAACCCTCACATGCAGTGATCAAAGCACTACATGCCACTGAAGCCAATCGAACTGAGCCTTCCAATGCCTCCTCAAAGGGGGCCAAGATTCGGAAGACATTGTTTTGGGTGAATGGACTTTTGGGGTAGCTTTTGCTATAGATTTTGAACATATCATGTTGCACGCTGTGGTGGGGTAAAGACATGTTTGATGACCTGTCCTGGCTGATCACCATGATCACTCGCACAAATATATAGCAAAGTCCCAATGACTCTGACTATAAATACATGTAAAGCTTGCTGACCCCGTCTGAGAAAAAATGCACATAGATCACATAGCCTGTATCTTCCTACTTCAAAAGGCTCCGCTCACTCAGGGATGCAAAAAATGACCCATAATATTCGGGCGTGGCCCCATCGTCTGCGTATGGCAGGCGGAAGGTCGCATGGCTCTCGTCCTTCAACCAGCGCATGGCCACTCTCCAGTGCACACTGCTCGCCGAGCCGATGGTGACGGACCAAGTGACCGCATCGGGTCGCAGGCCGCCCTGGGCGGAGGGCTCCGCTGCTGAGCGGACAAGTCTTCAGAAAGAAAGAGAGTGTTTGGTGCAGGACGTCCGGAGTTCCAGAACATGTGACTCAATGACATTCTGTCACTGTTACAGTAGGATGTTTGTGGAGTACAGCACTGCGGCTTATATACTTTCTTGATCTTCCTTGTCTTCAAAACGTAAACCGGAGTCATTCCAGAAAAATCCAAGTTTGGAGAGAAAACGCACCACAAGCATCTACAAAGCATGCTCAGATCACTGGCTGTTCAACCAAAGAAATGATTCAATGGCTGGAGTTCACAACCTTTATGTGAAGGTAATTCAAGCGTTTCATCGTGATTTGACTTGCTGCCAGAAGCCTGCTGGTTGCTGTGGAGGTTCAACATGGTTCAACTAAGTACACCTGACTCTACAGGCCTGGTTGACTTTGTGGGGCCACACCATGACACCTGGCGACCCATCAGGAGTCGGGGATTCTCAAACCGATGCTGACCGGAGAAGGCGTGGATGACCTTGCCTGGCGCATGGCCGTGGCCACTTCCCAGCGTTTCAGGCAATTCCACGTCGCCACACGCCCCGTGCCGTCACCGTCACGACGCCGGTGAACGGCGAGTGCCAGCTGCGCGCGTGGCCAAGGGGCACCTGAAATGCCACTGTTGAAGACCTCGAAATCCGCAGTCGCGGATTTTTAGGTGATAGGGGATGGGTGGAGGTGAAAGGCAATTGAAAATGACCAGTCATACAAGTATCAACCCAAAGTGTGGGATTATTGCCCATGCCAGCCAGTAACTATATTATAGCTTTCTTTTGTTGTAACAAATCTCAGCAATTAAGTGCTATAGGCACAAAGGCACTTTGGATTGCACCATGAAAGGTCAGCTATTGCACTGGTGGCCTACGAGCTAAATTATCAAATCTGGAACAAGCTACACCCCTCCGAGCTTGTGATTCTTCATCCCAAAGGCCACCCCCCTCACCCTCTTGTTCCTTCATATAGCTTCAGCTGAGAGGCCACCATGTCCGTTTCGATCGACCCGCGCCCGGTGTGTTGCAACATCTCCATGCTCCGCTCCCAGAACTGCCTCGAACGGCGGGAAACGCGTTTGATCGGACACGCCGGCGAGCCGCGCATCAGCCGACCGTCGTGCTTGTCCATTTGGATTGCTTGTTGGCATGGCACACAGGGCAGTCACACAAATTGCTGCCGAAACTGGCTGGGGATCTCAGTTTCTCCGGTCAAGATTGTAGTGTTGCGAACTCCAGTCTATGCTTCCTTCATAAAGATTGACTGACAAATCGCACAGGCATCACAACTCTCTCTGACTCCTTTGTGACTATTAGCGCGTGCACCAGAGATGATACCCTGGCTGCCCTGGTGCTCATGCTCCTACGATTTTTGTGTGTTTTCGACGTGGGCTATTCCCACAAGCCGACAACTCGATGGAAGTATACTCCAGCTTACCAAGATGGAATGAAATGGCCCTGGCATCTGTCAAGGAGCTAAATGGAGCCAGTCCAAACATCGCGAGGCAACACCTGGAGGCCATCAGCTTCGGTGGAGAGGCTATAATACCAATGTCATCAAACCCCAATGGTCGTCCCAGTTGCTGTCGGCTGAGCGCACCCTGCAGGCTGCTGTAGGTGATAACCTGGGAACAGTAGCACGCAAACTACAGCTTCTGAGCCATCTAGAGATTTGTAGAGTCATGGAAGCCCTCTTCTTCTCCAAATGTTCAGCCCAGGTTTACTTAACATTCTACATCTCTGCTGCTTCTGTTTCCTTGCATGTGCACCACTAACACCGGTAAGAATGACAAAGGCTTCTTCAGGTCTCATATATGTTCTATAGATGATTAAATACCAAAACACACCAAACCCCTGCCAGCTCCTTTTTTAGAACAACATAGTAAGACACAGTCCATATAGTCATATAGTAACATAGGATGACTTGGATTGCTTCCCCACTGAACATCCCATCAGATCATCATCCGACGCTTTGCCGGGCATTCCTTCATAACGGCATATCATTGCGCCACTCCCGGGCCCAAACACTTGATATGATACGAAATGCACAAGCCACACCCCTCGACACCAACATGGATAGCCCGGATAGCCCCATAATTTGGGTGTCCAGCCTTCCACTTGAGACCAAAGAGTTTCCGCTCCCATGCCTTTACCAAGCAGCATCCCTTTGTAAGGATAGTCGTCGCATAGTGAGGTAAACCATCAGGGAGACCTTCAGCGGGGAACTTGCATATGCCTTCGAGTGGACTATTCAATGAATCAAATATATTTGACACAAACATGGTTAGCCGTGTTTCGCCAAAAGGCTGTCTCTATTTAGTCTGGAATCTTCCACCTGATTGTAATACCTGGCAACTTTTGAGGAACCAAACCTACAGCAATTGGTAAAACAGTTCTGACCCGAAAACCATACCAGGGCAGTAGGTGGTGCAATTTGCATGTGTAGAAGTTGCGCAAATAAACAACAATCTGTACATTTATATATGTATATGTATGGGATTAAACAGCTATACAATACATATCTGGCCGACACGACCCGCCCAATGCCAAACAAACATGGAATCTACAATCTACGCCAAGCTGGATTTGACGCAAGCATGTTTGTTGGAGGGGCGAGCTGATCAACGCGTGTTGCACCATCTGATATCACCCGGGTGAATGTCCAACAGTGTAGGCGAGCATGCCTGCCATTGACCGATACAAGCACTCAGCAGCGCATTGAACACCAGCGTGGTGGCAGCTACTGCAGCATCCAAGTTGGACCTCCGCGCTGGACAACGTGGAGATTGAGTGAAACAAGAATAAAACCTCAGGATCAACATAGAGGTTTGGAGGGTCCCTGCTGGATCCACTGCGGCCAAGGACAGCGGAACAGTGCACATAGCACCCCCTGAAACGCACATGGAACATGCTTTGCACTGCAAACCCTAGTTGCTATAGTTACTACAGTAGTTCTATGTTACTTTTCCAGTACTGTACTACGATCACACCAGTCCACACAATTGCCATTACTCCGACTCAAGCACTCGACCTTACTGCAACAGGCCACCTTTCGTGATCTGACCTCTTTCACCCGAACCCATCAGTCGACGTCCTCAATGTCTCCATGGCCAAAGGCCAAAGCTCTGGCCGCATCACGTACGACGCCGCATCCCTTCGGAGTCTGCTGCTGCCAAGATCTGCCAGCAAAGCCAGGGCGTGCCGCCACTGGAAGGACTTGACCTCGTCGCGTCAACCGCAATGGGATGCCAAATCCGTGATGGGGGTGATGGATGGTGATGGTTGCATCCGTGGTGCAGGAAAATGAACACTGGTCCGAAAATCACCGAGATAGCTCGGCCAACCGGGGCCATCCTCAACCAGGTTGTGCGCTGTTCGCACCACCGTCCCACCAAGAGGCACAGCTGCTGCAGGGGATGTTCTGCGAAAACGTCTGCGGCTGCAAGGACCGGTCCTTCAACCTCCTGCGTGGAGACATGCTGAGAAATGGGTCCCAAACGGCGGCATCTACACAGCAAACCATGTCCTGCAACGTCCTGTTGCTGCTTCATTTGGACGGTGAAGGTAGGCCATCTTGGGAGTGTTGGGGTGTGAGAAAACCATAGAACACCTATCTCTTGTCCTGTCAGCCTTGGATTGGTCCCGGGAGATGGGATCTGGCCTTCCCCTTGGTCTTCAACTCACTTCAGTACCTAGGGATTTGGCTCCGTGCCGGCTTTCCCCCCATGCAATACGGCGTTCCGAAGGACCAGGTCGGAGAGCCTATCACACCCGCCCTCGCCCACCGTCCATGTCGGACGTACACAGCGTTACAACTATCGTCTCCAAATGAAACGCGCTTGATATCTTGAACTCTCACACTGCAATATAAAGTCTTCAACAAACATTAACAACTCATGGCTGGCTACAATTGAAGACCGCCACACACATATATATATATATAGCAAATACATAGTAGATATTTGCACAATCACACACTTGAGAAGGTTGCTCCGTGGAGCGTGATTTCAGGCTGCTT